TCTAATTTTAAGTACCTGAGCCTGATTATTGATCACAGTGTGTCTTTAAATGAACAGATTAAAACTTTCTCCATAAAAATGAACTGTAAAAATGATAGCTGCTCTCTGGAGAATGAGACATTGTCTGATTCCTGAACTTAGATTCTAACTATGAAGAGCAACCTCTCCTTTCAAGTAGAGAGATCTGATGCTCAATATTCTCTCAGTGTAAGTCTCCCTCCCCTCTGTTCCAAGCCCCCCTCTGGAAAAAAAATTCTGATATCTTTTCCTCCTTAACTAATTGACAGGTATCTCACCTTCAAAGTGTTATCAAGACCAAATGAGGGTGTCATTCATTATTCTCATCTCAATATATAGGTCCTTTTTAAACCACTTCTCATTGTAAATATTAAACCCCCAATTTTCAGAGTTTGGTTTAAAAACCCTTTTTAAAACCCTTTTTAGCAAAGATTGCGTGATAATTTTTATTTTTATGCTTTTAAACAAATTTTGTACAATCTCATGGTAAAAATAGGAAGGAGCCTATTCAGTCATATTTATCAAACATAAAAGAAATAACAACAAATCAAGAACCTTGCTGTATCTGCCTCCTTTGTCACTACGTCAACCCCTGTGTGAAGTGGGCAGAGTGGTCAGATAGTCACCACAGTTTGCAGCTCAACCCTGGAGACTGTTCAGATGTGTAGAAACAGCAGAGGACTGAAGAACCCATTCTGCAAAAGGAAACCAACAATCCAGATTAGTGAACAAGAGACACCATGAACATGAAAATAAGATCATGAGGTGAGCCTCAACGTACGACAACTCTGCAGATGGTTCACGGGCTACCTCCCACAGAGCAGGGGGACTCTGGAGCTGTGGCCAGTGTTCTAACTGGATTGAAGAAAGAACCAGGCTTGTCAGGAGAGCGAGGCAGGCACATAGCAGAAGGGACACAAGGGAGACCAGGAGAGCCAGACAAAGCACCTGTGACTGAGCAAGACAATCCAAGGGGCGACTGGGAAGGACACAGGTGGTCAGGCAAACTACGAAACCATCACATCTGCTATACCTTGATTTGTTTACCCTAGTTAACTAGTGAGAAACCGCCTAGATTACTCCAGGTTGTTGTTTTTTTGTTTGTTTGTTTGTTTGTGTTTTTTTGCTTTCTCTTATTTTGTTTACTTTGTAATTGTAAACAATCCTTAATGACAACCTTTATTATATATATGCTGGCATTTTACTAAGAGTGTATCCATGAAGTAAGTTCCTAGTGATGACATGATTCAACCAAAGGACCATCAGACTTCTCATGAACTTACAAAAGCCAAAGTGTTAGTCAAATGGAAGAGGACTATGCCATATGGCTCTGGCTTGATATTAGTACCTGTCTTTATAAAGGAAGTGGGAGGAAGAAGGTATAAGCTTAGGGGAAAGAATGCAGAGGGAAGAAGTTATCCATCCCCATGTGAATAAAAAATTTAAACATTTCCTGTAGTCTTCAAATACCATGAGAATGAGCCAGTACTGTTTGGATCATATCCCAACATAGAAATTGGCGAGTCTAAAAATATCAGCAACATCAGAAACACTCACTGTTAAGCCTCACTCCAGGGCTGAAAATTGAACAGATCTCAGTGGGAGCTAAGAATGTGCATTTCTACAAATTCCTTGGTGAGACCCTCCAGCTGGTTGAAACACCCCTCTTGGAGGATCACTGAGTGGACTGTTGCTCAAAGCAGCAAGAGGTAGCCCAGGATGACCTACCTGGTGACATCTGGACTTGGATTTAACCTGAGCTTTTGACTCCAAAATCATGTTAACTAGTCTATTGCAGAAGTTCTCAGCCCTAATTTATACTAAAACCATGTGAGGATCACTGAAAAAGCCAGGCTTTCCCCAACCAATTATGTCAGAGTGTTTACTGGGGCCAAGGCACCGGGAAGATCTCAGATTTCCAAAGGCTCTTTTGTGCAGGCCTAGTGGAATGGCATGATTCTGTTACAGTGCTTGAGTACTGTCTCTACAGACTAAATGAAGGGTCCTCACCATCCCTCCTGCCACTCACTGTGGACTTCACAGGCATCGGGCAGAGCTGAAGTGATTCTTCCAATTAAGTGTGGCTGTTCATTCAGATAATGAGCAGATTTGCCCACAGAAGAGATTGAAGGAAGTGTAGATTTATGGTGGTCCCTGAAGACTTTGATGCAGGTATAATTTTATATACTTTTTTTATATTTTATTATAATTTTAAAGAATGATATGTTTTCTGGGGGAATACATCGAAATGGTCAAAACAATAGGCAAGAAGATTAACTGCTCAAAATATGCAATGGCAGTTGCTGTTCTTTGTCTTATCTCCAAGGTGCACAGCTGTGGTGACAGTCTCACATAGAGTCTGTCCTACAAAGGATCAGGTAACTGTCCCCATCATAACTTGAAGGCCTTGGTTTGAACTCAGTGAAGAGATTGCATCTTTTGGCTACAAAAAGGCAATCTTTTCCCAAATCTGTTCCCCTCTTATTCATGGTATTTCAATGATTGACAAACAGACAAAAATGTATTTATTTAGGGATTATCTATATTGAAAACTAGACACAGGATTTTTTTTCTGTCAACACTGCGGTAATATCAGCTATTTGAACAAAAGGAGAGGTATTTTTCCATTCAATACCGAATGCTGAAAATTCTCCAGTTTGTATTCAAGGAGACATTTGGTTTTATTGATCATGTTAGCTGAGTAAGTTTAAGCTCCTATGGCCAGGCAAGAAGAAAGTTGATTTTCTATTTATTGTAAAGGTTATTAGGAGGAAACTAGATATCGAAGTTATTTGTCTTTGGACAATCCTTGACAATCAGAATCATTCAAGAAAATTTCCAGAAGTTTTCTTCAAAACCAATACTTTGATGATCTCAAGAACTATGATATTTCTTCCAGAAGTACTTATTATTTTTTGTTTATTATTTTTACTTTATTGAGTTTATTATTTTTAGTTTATTATTATTTAAGACTTCACTTGTTTCAAACAAACACTTGGTTATAGATGGAGAAGTATACATTTCTCTACCTTTAATTGATAAGAAATTCTTACATTCCGTCAAAAGTCTAAAAATTAATGGGCCCCACTTAAGTTGTCTGTAATGCAGAACCTTTTGCCAAAACAGTAACCTTTCCTTAAGATAGTCCTCCACTATCACTAATCAAAAAAAAGTGAGACATCATGATACTAAGCCACAACTTTGTGAAATTTTCCCTCAGTTTTTGGTCTGTCTTTTGGTCTCAGATTTAATGGAATAAGCCATATCTTTCAGTCATTCCTGAAAACCAGCATTGTTGTTCTTTCAAGGAAAAGCTTAGATAGCACAAAACTCTTCTCTTGGGTTTTAAAGACATTCTGTAGCTCATCAGTGAAAAGCAAGGAAAAGTAGAAAAGTCACAGCTGATGTGTCAGATTGTGGTGGTGAAACTACAGGTCTAGCAGAAATGCTATTACCAAATGGAGAGGTCCCTGAACATCAATAGTACGTACTTGTGTTCTTTCCAGAAATGTCCTTTCCCTTGAAACCTTTTGATATTTGCCCTTAGATAGGATTATATATGCCCAAGGACAGCCCTCTCCTGGCTTCCTGAGAGAAATGAAGTGACTCAGAGAAATGACCACAATATTTTTTAAATGAAGTTATGCAAATCTGATAGGCTAAAGTAAATGTTTCATAAAACCAATGACTGTTTAAATTGTAGGACTAAACTGTTTGTATATAAATATTACCTTTTATATTCCATTTGAGTTTTATGTAGATGAACACATTACTTTAATGACCTGCATTTACAGAGGGAGAGGGAGAGAGTTGCTCCCTGAAATTCTCACCAGCCAGATGGCTGCCTTTTCTTGCATGAGATTAAAAGATGTTTCTCATTCACCATGATGCTTCAGAGGCAAATTAATATTGCCGGCTAAATTGCTTGTGTTTTGGAATAAAATTTAAAGAGAACTTTTTAAAGCAATTGGTGTCACAGGTTCTCAGAGCAGATTGCTCTCCAGGTAGAGAGACATTCAGTAATTAATGGAAAGAATTCTGTGTTAATTGACTGCTTCAGGAAGGGAAATATAATGACTCCTTATTAATCATGAAAAGAGATGTACAGCATAGAGGCCCCACAATAATTGCTCCAACAGTGGAGAAATGTTAATTAATGAAAAGAACAATGATGTAAGAAATTAGCTACATAATGCTTGCCACCAATGGAGATTGGGTTTTAAACATGTTATTTAGAGTGGAAACCACAAAATGTTGCCTTAAATAACAGATACATGGAAACTCATACCACCTAAATTTAGGGGAGAAAAGTCTTTTCAGTGTTCCTCACATCTTTACTTGAAGAAGCAAAAGCATTCAGTCAGAGCTATGTTTATTTCAGAGAATGTGGCCTTGCCCTTCATCTATGATCTGGGCTTCAAAAATCAAAATCATCCCCAGACCAAAACAAGGTTATTTATTATTGCCATTTGGTTTCAGCACAGTACGTCATCTGACCGCTAAGGACAAAGGGAATGAAAGAGAGAATTTTTCCCTAAATGGAAATAAACAAATTCAATTTCTGATATTTCCCAATTAATATGAAGAAAAATGCAGATTCACTTTAGGAACAGAGGAGTGTCTTTCTTATAGAATCTAATTTTAAGTTCCTGAGAGATTATGTAGCTTCCTCTCTAAGAACTCATTTTCCAGAAAAGGGACTGGTTTTATTAACATGCAAAGTAGTTGCAGAGCTCAGCCCCCCAGCGTTAGAGCTGCTCGGAATCATTAGTAGCCACAGGCCAAAGCCACCCGGATGGCTCTGCTGTGTCTGGGGAGTGCTCCACGCTCTGTGCGATGGAGAAAATAACACTTGCAGAGCAGGGGACTGAAGGGCAAGAAGGCACCAATACTGCGCACTATCAGCCCATTTCCCTGGTGGATCAGGGCACCCCGCCGCAGGGCAGGGCATCCCACTGACTCTGCCCTCACTCTCATTCCAGGTGGAATGTCCTGGGACTACAGGGGGCTCTCCTCTGTCACTTCATCGAGCCTGTGTACCTCCACAGCATCGTCGTGGGCAGCCTGCACCACACGGGCCACCTGTCCCGGGTCATGAGCCACAGGATGGAGGACATCGGCCAGCTACCGACCTCATACCAGCACAACCAGCCTCTTCTCAGTGGTAAGAAAATAGCACCCTGAGGGACCCACAGTCTTCACCTGTCTTCTTCTGTGAGCTGCACACAGGTCCTATGGGTGCCAATTCAGGACAGACTGTATTTATTTTGGCAAATGACTATTTGAGATTTAATTAGTAAAATGCAACAGTCCAGACTTTTAAGAGACCAAAAATAAATAAATAAGCAAATAAAATATTATAGTGCATATCTGAATATAGGGATAGGCAACATTTTAGCATGAACATATAATGGAACCAAGCATATATCTTTTTTTCATTTTCACTGCAGTGTCTAAAAGTAGCCAGTTAAAACAAAAGTCCCTAGTGATGAGGGGAGTGTCTAAGGGGCGCAGCATCTCTCGTGGTGCTGTTCTGCAGGAACCACTGCAGAGAGACATGCTAGCGGGTGAGCAGATGCAGAAGAAAGGAAAGTAGCAGCCAGACCCTCGAGGCCAAAGGACTCAGTCTGTAGGGCCTGCTCTTGGTGGCAGGGTCTGGCAGAAGCTCATCTCAGAGGCAGCAAGGTGGCTTAGCAAACACTGAGCCCAGCCACATCTCTACCTGTCATAGAGACTTACAGATCCTTCACTCCAACCCCCCAGGTACAGCTAGTTGCCACAAAAATACAGTACTACAGAAGTTGTGCTGTTTGTGTGCACCTACTAGAAAGATGCAAGTATGATATCTAAAAGGCTTTTAACAAAATCACATTTATTCACTGTGACCACTGTCCTTCCACACTAGGGAAACTTCCAGATATGTGAGAACTGAACAGAAGTAGACAAAGAGCATGTGGGTTTTAATATCTCGTAAGCCCCACAGAGAGGCCTGGAGGAAACCACTAGATTTTTTTTCCCTTAGTGGTGCTGGGGATTGAACCTAGGGCCTTCACACTGAGCCACATCCCCAGCTCTTTTTTAATTTTCTATTTTGAGACAAAGTCTTGCTAAGTAACTAAGTTGTCTAGGAATCTTGAACTTGTGATCCTGCTGCAACTTTCTAGAATGCTGAGATTACAAGCATGCACCATCACTCCCAGCAAACAGTTGATCTTGAAGTTAGCTTCCCTGGCTGGAGGAGGAGAGCACACACAAAGGATTGTTAAAAAAAAAAAAACCAGCCTGGTGCACTGATAAAGCATAGCACCCCAATGGGAAGTGAACACAGTTTCTTCACCAAAAGCAAGCAGACTCTGCTGATTTAGTCCTAGACCAAATTATCTGACAGAGAAAACAAGAAGATAGAGGAACTACTTTTAGTGTTTCATCTGGGAGTAGTTAGACCAAAGATTTATTCCCAGGACTCCAAAAGGGTTATACATTGTAAGATTCAGGGCCTCATGGGAGCAGTAGTGGGAACTAAACAAAATAATTCATGCAAAGCGCAGAGCTATGCTAAACAAGTATTTAAGAAAAGATGCTCCCTATCACAAAAGTAAATTCACTTATTCCACAATATTGACTACCTAGCAATTGAACAACTCTATTTATTGTTGTAAAAAATAAAACTACAGGGCCAAGTAAATACCTCAGCGGCACAGCACCTGCCTGTCAAGCACAAAGTTGTGAATTCAACCCCTAAATAAATAAATAAGCTTACAGACCTAAAAGTTAAAATAAAGAAGATAGACAAAGAATAACCCACCCTCACATGATCTCTGCAAATCAATTCTTTCACATATTGACATTCTAGACTTTCTAAATATACAAGGCCCCATTCATAAGATTCTGCAATTCTATCCCTTTTTGATTAGTCTTGGAGAGATTTTTGTGGCACTTGGACACCAGATTTAATGTCAGCACAGGTCAAAACTGGCTTCATTCTGTGCTTAGATCCACAGATGTTACTAGACTACAAGGGTCTGAAAATGCACAGTGAAAAAACACTTGGAATTCCAAAGTTAGCAAACTTCAGTGAGACTATATGAAAGAGGGTAGCATTTTACTGTAAGACTTTACCTGTCTGAACCATTGAGGGAAAAATAGTTTCTTCACCACTTGGACTGAGTTAATACAATAAGGCAGGAAGACTCCCACACACTAGTGGTGATCTTACCGTTTACTGTGTCATCCCAGTTGTACCCTACTCCTTTCCCCATCTGATTATCTGGCTCTAAACTCAACACATGGCATTATAGGGTCTTAGACACTAGCTTGTCCACAATATGCCTGTAAGCAGAGTTTTGGTTGACTTGTTGGGTCCACGCTGGAAAAGGCTGCCTTTGGATCAGGTCCATAGCTGTGTCTAGGACTGTAGATTCCCATGACCCAAATCATAACAGCTTTTTGAGCAATAAACAGATGAATTGGAGAGGGTGCACAATTTAGGAGTCTGGTATAAATGGTGCAATTATTATAAACTTCAGAAAACACCTTCTGAAAATGGCCGTATCATTTAGAGAAGGAAAAAAAGCACTTCTTGAATTCCCTCTGTGTCATTTGTGACAATTCAATTCTCACATCAACCAACAACTAATGGCATTATGTCTATTTTTTTAAATGCCAGAAGAGACAAAATTCTTATCAATAGAGTATTTGAATTCACATTTGATCAATTGCAAACTCTGCATTTTTTCATTATACCATACTGCATCCCATAGCAGTGTAGTATGATTTCTAAGATGCCTATTTTTTAAATCACACAAAAATTAATAATGCAAAATGAGCTGAAGAGGTAGGAACAGCTAACTCAGGGTGAATGGGTATGGGAGAAACTTGCCACAGATTAGCCTGGTCTGTGCAGAATTCTTCAAGTATATCTTCACTGAAGCTTGTCTAAAGCTCCTGGCTTCCTGCTGTTTTCACATAGCCACTGAGCTAAGCAAAGAACTCAAATTTGCCTCGAACTCATTCTCTTTACTTTTTAAGTGGTCAATAATTTCAGCAATTCTGATCAAGTACTGCAGGTCCAGTTTCACCAACTTTCTCACCCTTGACTTTCTTGTTTTTCTTTTTCTCCTATCTTTTCTTTAAAATGTGACTAAAATGACTAGTTTGGAACAAGATGAAACTTCACATATGGATTGCCCCCAAATTTACTGTGTTTCTTAGATTTATTTCTAAGCTAAATTTAAGAGAATTTTCATCTGTTAAGAGAGGGTCAAGTTCTCTCTTTTTTTTACCCATGTGGCTCCCTGGGCTATCCTTATTCTTTTGTGTTTATCTGCTACTGAGAAAGCTCCTCCTTGCCTGAGTGATGTCTGACCCCACTGCAACAAGTGCAGTCTGACTAAACATTTTGGTCTATACTTAGATGCTTATTTAGTATATGATTTATATTCTTACAAAAATGTAAATGAGTCTAAACCATGGTATCGCACCTGTGAACAAATCCTGAGGCCTAACTTCATTGTTCCTGATAAACATTTAAAACCCAGTCATGCAAATTCTGAAAAGAAATCCTCAGAATTCCTTCTCAAAGAAAAGGAGAAATATCTTGCATAAAGATATAATAGTAAAACACACTCAAATAAGCAAGTGAAATTTGCTTGAAGCTTTCCCCAAGGTCAGTTTGCAGAAATGCTATACAAGATGGAGCTCATGCATTAGCAGGATGAAACCCTGCAATTTAGAAATGGTTAAATCAGTTCCAGATTTAAAAAGAAGCAACCAAGCTGAAAAAGATACCCTTATTGGTACAACCATAGCATGCATATTAATGTTCTTGAAAGATATACTTGAAGAGTTCTACACAGACAGGCTAATCTATGGCAAGCTTCAGTACCAAAAGCCCAAATCAAGGTTGTCAAGAGCCATGAATCCTTCAGCAAAACCGTATCATTGCCTGATAACAGCTACCCTAAAGAAGTTTTATCCTTGCTCTTTCTTGGTGAAACCACTGGTGGATAAATGGTGAGAATAATAATTAATAAAAATCTATACTTGAATACTGATATTTTTAGCAAAATGTGATATGAGATAGAAAGCCATTTGTTCCATGAAGCTGAAGAGATCTGCTTCTGTGAGCTTTCAACTTTAAAACTGAATTTTATTTTTATTCATTGAAAAAAAGAAAATATCTGCATAGGATCAGTTTTCAAATTAATGGCATGTTTAACAGAATTTAGTCTTGAACTTTCCTAATCCACACTACAGATAAAATTATGATTATTTCTATAAAAAATAGATAGTCTTGACCACAAATATAAGATTTGAGAAGCAGATATACAGCACTGATTGTAGAACCATGAGTTGTTTAAGACCCTTGAGTGATATTCATATAAGCAGCATTATAGTATTGGTAATAAAATACTGATCATCTGTCTTTCTGCTTGGTGTGTATTATCTTGAAATAGTCCAAATGAATTCCTGAATTATCCATGGGAAGTCCTTTCTGGTATCCATATTTCACAGCAAGTTAATTAATAAGAAAAAAACTTGATGCCTATCAAAATGTTCACCAACAGGAGCCTGTAAATTTTGCCCAAAACCATCAATTTTTTGGATTCTAGCGATTTTTCTGTTGCCATTTATAGTCATATCTTTGTGAAATCAGATTTTTAAAATATTGTTACACTTAAATGAAGAATCTTCCATGAAGTTCTAGGCTTCTTTAATTCTGGAAAAAAATTGTGAAATTAATCATCATGAATAGTATTTTGCAAAATAATACAGTGGTGTAGTGTATATCTAGATGTCTACCCCAAATCTTATATATGGGGCTTTTGAAAGGTGACTGAATCACAGGGACACTATAGCTAAGTGTGATATTTGGGTATGAGGCCAGATTAAAAGCAGTGGGTGGGTCACTGAGGTCATGAGCTGGAATAGTGCACACCCTCCTTACCTTCCATCTGCTCCCTGTGCTTCCTCCCTACCGTCATGTGAACAGCTTTTCCTCCCAGGCAGGCCCCCTCCACGCCACTTCTGCTCTGCAGCAGCTATGAGCCAAAACAAACCTTTCCTCCTATGATTTGCTGGTGTCCAATACTGAGTCCCAGCACCCAGAAAGTAACTGAGACACCCAGTGAGATAGTAGCACCTATCTTCTTTTAGCTATATAAT